CTTAAAAAAAAAAAAAAAAAAAAAAAAAAAAAAAACTACCTAGGTTATGTTAACTAACATTAACTCGCAACAGCCTTGTTTAGTTTACTTGAATTCTTAACATACCTTTATCTTGCCGTTTTCTCTTCCTCTTTTTATTCTCTGAACCAGGAGGTCCTTTGACAGTTTTGCTGCAATGCTGCTGCCTCTTCCATAATCAGTCTGACTGTGCTTGCATCCAGCTGCAGCCTGTTAGTATAATATTTCCCTTTGATTTAATATTGCGTTTTTGCATAATTACCATCAACCATTTGTCCATTAACAATACAATTTTTTTTTAAAGTGCTCTTGGGGGCCCCAAGCAGCTGCTTAGTTTTTTGGTTCTGCTCCTCATCAAATACACAAAATTGGTTAATCAGAGGCTGGTGGGGAACATGGCTCAACCAAGAAAAGAAAACTATATGCACAAATTTAGACAAGCCAAAGCAGACATTCAAGCGGTTGACAATTTCCTGAAGAAAGCTCTCCACATTCCCAGAGATCAAATGAGGCGAGAAGAACTCATCACGGACAACTTCAGCACTCATCTAGGTAAGTCTCAATCCTAATAAGTTCTTCTCGCCTCATTTGATCTCTGGGAATGTGGAGAGCTTTCTTCAGGAAAAGGTTAGGGTTAGGGTTAGGGATTATAGAAACCAAAGGTTAGGGTTAGGTTTAGGGTTAGGGTTAGGGTTAGGGATTACAGACCCAGAAGCCAGAACAAAGTCCAACTCCGGTTATGCACTGTCCTTCAACTTCAACTGACCGCTTCCGGCCTTGTTTCGATTAGGCCTCGTATCCAAAAGCAGTCCACTTTTTGTATGAATCAGTGTTCTTCATAAGGAATAATCCAGGGGACAAACAGCAATGTGCCTAGAAAGCATTAACATTAGTGTAGTCAAGGAACTACAATACGGTTGGTTTAAAAGGGGTTATGTATCAATACTCGAAACCACGATCAGCAATGCAGCGATTGGCTGGCGGCAGGACAGCAATGTAACCTTTATAAGCAAACAGCCACGTGAACAAAACTACAAAAATGTTATAATAGATAAGTGAATCGTGCATGTTTTTTTTTTTGTTTTGTTTTTTTTAAACATGATTCCCAATTTTTATATTCACGATTTCTTTGTACAGGCTTTACATTTTTATTTCAATGTTGTAATTAACAATTCATGTAATTTTATCTTTGAAGCAGATTTGTTATGTGACAGCCTTAGTTTCTTAAGGGTCAATATCAAGTTATCTGCGTCTCCTGCACTTCATCAAGCCACGTACTCCCATAGTAGCGGTCATCACTTAAATTAATGCACGACTCTTATTAACTGTATAGCATGCGTGTACGACTCGAATACAATTATAAAGTAATTATCAAGAACAAATCTTTCAATGAGTAAAACTGTGTCCATAGTATTATAGATTACACCTTATATTATTTTAAAATTAATTTTAAAATTATTATAATTTTAAAATTGTTCCCGGATTAGTGGGGTACTTTTGTAATAAAGTAGCAGTGGCTGGGATAGACTTTCAATATCTATTTCCATTTAAAAAGATGCCATCTAATCCGGTTTACATTAAATAAGCCTGTTCGCAAGCAGGTTTAAGCTTACGGACATGTTGCTATGACAGCAAGTCCAGGATGACCTTCGAAGAACCAAATAATCCAAGATCATGCCAAATCGTCAACAATCAAATCCAGCTAACAGAGTTAGCGACATACAAAGAACAGGCCCCAGGGATCAATTAGTTAAGTTCACTTAAACATTCTCCACATTTCCAATGGAAAGTGAAAATGTAGCTAAAAGAGCTTGGAACTCTCCAGAATTCATCTGAATAAACCTCATTTTAAAGTCAACTATAAGCTGACTGCCATCAAGGTACAGAATAAGAGCACATTTAGCTCCTCCAAGATGCCCAGCTGACAATATGGCAGATGAAGCTTCATAAGGAGTTATTTGCATTGCCCTTCCTGGTTATAATGTGGGCTCTGGGACAAACTGCAGATGTGTCAGCATGTCCTGTAGTAGAATTCAGTTCTGTCAAGCCAAAGGTGAGCAGAGAGTGGTTTCAGCTTCAGGGCTATGACGGTGCAAGACAGCAGTAAAAACAAAGATATGGGTGATGTGCACAGAACAGTACATAAAAATAAAAAAAAGCAGAGTTCTGTACACTAAACAGGTGAAAGCTCTTGGTTCTTTAAACTCAAAATACAAAGCCCATGGTTACAATCTAAAACTGACATTTTGAAAGAGTCAAACAAAGCTCATGTTGAGTGCAAGCTGTAATTTCTTACCTTCAGATGTCAACCAGATACAGCTGGGCTTGGATTAAAGCGCTTTTATTTCCATCAGGGCTTCTTGGGGGAGAAAAAAAAATAAATAGATTTTTACAATAAGGGAAACCGTGATGCATAATACAATAAAATCACGAAGTAAAATTCGATTACAAAACCAAATAACAGTCAATCACTACACCAGAGCAACTTGAAATGCAACAGAAAATGCATCTTGATGGGTTGCAGTTGGTAGCAATGATCCAAATGAACCATTCTGCCTTCATTTTCAAGTAACGTAGTACGGAACCATCTGAGGTCGAACAAGACTAGGAGGACTTGGAGTTGTGAAAAGAGACTTACCCAGGGAAAGGGACTCAAGTCGTCAATGGGCGGTCAAGATAGGATAGCAGCATGCTGATCTCAGTTGTTGCATTTTTGAATTTACAGCCAAAGACACCCACAAAAAAAATAAAAAATAAAAAAATAAATAAAAAACAGCAACAAGAACAAATTGAACAGCTGACGTTTGCCCATACAATAACTGAAATTCAAGACCTCAATCACTAAAACTACATGGACTTCCCATCGTCTCACATGCCTGCATTTGTAGCACACATACTCACTGTCCACAATGGCTGTGCTTTAGATAATTTAGGTGATTGAGGAGTGTAGAAGTCTGCCAGAGCACAGAGGGAGTTGTCTCATCTCCATGTCTCAGTCAAAAACAAATGTTACGCTTTGAGTGGAAAGGTGAAGTCAGCGTTAACAGCCAACTTATACTTCTGCATTTGGTAAATAGGGATGTATTGAAGTCACATGTCGAGAACAACATTCACCCTCATTGAAGAACTTAAACCGGTTCAAGGAGATCTTCAGAAAGAAAACACTTCTTCCAAAGCAAGACTAGTTGACAAAAGAGACTTTACCTTGGTCCAAGGCTCAAGCATACCATTTGAGAGCAAGAGGCTGGGGGATGTTGCATTAGTTGACCTGTTGGTGCAGGGACTGATATAGTCAAGGAAGAAAATGTAAATGGAGAAGCGACCAATACTTACAATATCTCAGTAGGTGGTTAAATTGCATAGAACTTGCCAACTGCCACCAAGTCAAAAGAGTTGACCGCATCAAGAAACAAATTTTGGCATGATTAGGAAGTCATGGCATGATACTTAACCTGCCCAGCTGAGGCTCCCTCAGTATGGGAGAAAGGTCCATAGAGGGCTAATACAGTTCCAGTGTTACCTGGAAACCAATATTTGTCAAAGCCTGAATGTTGCATTGTCACTGACTGGCAGAGATGAAAAGCAGGAATGATGACAGCTTTGTTGCTGGCTGCCCTACATAGTCAGTCCAAAACAGTGTGAAAGGCTGTGGTTGAGTACCAAGACAGCATAGATATCAGAGAAAGAATTTGTCTACAGAAGCATTTAGACTTTTCAATAAACAGGAAATTACAGAAACAGACAAAAGTGGGGTTAAAAGTCGCTTTAGAGACACTTTAACTTTAAATATGAAAAAGCATGCACAAGGTGCCACTGACCATCCATACCTGGAAACCAATATTTGTCAAAGCCTGAATGTTGCATTGTCACTGACTGGCAGAGAAGAAAAGCAGGAATGATGACAGCTTTGTTGCTGGCTGCCCTATATAATCAGTCCAAAACAGTGTGAAAGGCCTCGCAGAAGAAACCCAGAAAATGCCTATCGCTGCAGCTGAATAAACAGAAGATTCAACTGCTTTCATTGATTCAACGGGACTAATAAACACACGACTATGGCAATGTACGGTTTATCTGAGTTCTTATTATAATTTTCATTAAAATAAAGTACATTTATAATGCAATGCCTTTATCACTGCTTAAATACTATGAAATGTTGCATACCTTATTCTGTGTAAGAAGCCACATCATCTCACAGGAGGATTTATTTAAAACACTCGACTGACATTATGAAGCGAGTTTGGAGTAAAAATGTTATTAAATGTGGTATTTTCACATGCTTTCAGATGGAGCAGCATTTACTTCACAGAGCCGTAGTTCACCGAGAAGCTATGCAAACAGCGGTCATTATCGTGAACGATTTCAGAATTGCGCAATAAAATTGTCTGCGATTTTTTTTTTGCCGTAACTTGTCAGTGAACTACGGCTACGTGTAGTAAATTCTGCTCCATCTGAAAGCACGTGATGATGATTTCCTGCTAATTACGGAACCGGCTTTACTAACAAAATGCGCATGACAATCGCATTCGATTAATCGTGCAGCCCTATGTAGCATTGTGTCTTTACGCCATCTGAAAGCCCGTGATGATAATTTTCTGCTGATTACAGAACCGGCATTACTATCAAAATGCGCATGACAATCGCATTCGATTAATCGTGCAGCCCTACATACTACCATGTCCTTTCAGCTTAAAAGGGAGGGAGAAAGAGATCACCTCAAACACTTGATGCATTCCAGATATAGTGGTGGCAGCACAGACAAAGCAGTTTAATATCGATAGATGTCAGTATAGGGTCTAAAACTATGGTCACATCAGTAATAAGATGCAAGAGTCATGCTGATGCTTAGAGAAAAATAAAATTATTTTACTTGATAAAGGCACCATAAGACATGTGAACCCAAAGGGCCAATAGGTATAAGCCACAAAATTGTAATAACAGCAAGACACTTGAACAAGTTAACAGCAACAATCACTTTAGAACTGCCTACACGCTACAAATCAATTTCACCTTTTGGTGCATGGTTCCTCAGAAATTCAGATCTAATATCACAAATGCCGAAATGTTTAACCTCACCAAATGCCACAGTGACGTAAACGGTTTCTTATACAATGCCCAGGAAAGTGTAGGATCTGAAAGAGCAAAAACCAGAGCGGATTGTGAAACCCAAGACGTTCATACACGGTCAAGCATTAAGCTCTGCATTTGAGCTTTAAAAGTCTTACCACTCATTGTATAGTCATAGCCCACATTACAATAAAGAAATGTTTGCCACTGTCATGGCTCTTCTAAAATGATTCCTTAAAGTCACAATTTGTCTGTACATAAAACAAACAAAGTTCAGGAAGCAGAGGAAATTAACCAAAAAATAAATAAATAAAAAAAATTTAAAAAACACTTAAGTGACTATACCACAGATGAAGAGGACAAAAAAACATGCATGAAGAAAAAAGGCAAATAAGATATAGGCTAAGCTTCTCACCTGATGGCATTTCTCTTGATGCAGTTCAGCTGTCACATTCAATCAGCTTCACATGCTTTCAACAGGACTGTTAACAAACCAAAAAACAACTGACTGGCTCATAAAATTTATTACTGGATATAGGTTCTCATTTATTTAAAAAAAATAAATAAATACACAAGGTATATAAATCACATAACAAATGAATGTGGAAGAAAAGATCTTACCTTTCAATGATTAAAGCAGGTATACTTTCAAGCATGGCAATCACTTTCAGCATCCTTACACCACAAATGCCATCTCATACTGACAAATGTGGCCCATAGCTAGTGGGCATTTATAGTGATGGGCAAAACCATTGACAGTCACGCAAGATAACAAATTAAATTCATCAAAAACTAAACTACATAACTAATCAACAAATTATTTATCAGTCGTGTATTCCATCATTGGTAAGGCGTTCAAATTTTAAAACAAACAATCCCCTTCATCCTCTGCACTTGGTTTCTCCCACCTCCCTGTTTAAATCTAGATTAAAGACACATCTCTTTAGCCAAGCATTCACATAATGTATCTCATAACCCTGTACTTCAGTTACATCTGATCAAATGCACATTAACATTCTTTTGCTTGGGTTGAACACATACTTTTTTGCTTAGTTGGAACAGCAGCTACGCTAATTTTTCTCTATTTCCTTCTCGGTTTCTGCCACGGGATTGGCATCATGTGGTAACTAGGAATCACACGAGCTTCAGTCTGGATCCAGCCCTTACAAAGACCTGAGATGACCTAACACCTGAGAAGAGATGATGCCAACCCCTCAGACAACATACAAAACTACCAAATTTTGCTATAAGTTTGATCGCAACATATAGTCATTGCTGTTAAAAATGTTCACCATCTGTTTGATTACATGTCATTAACTAACTGCTTGATTTTACCGTACATTTCTGCCATATGGACATCAACTTGAGATAGTCACCACTGATAAAATATTACTAAATATAATGTAGAAACTTTAATTTTCTGTAAAGCTGCTTTGCAAGCTGGAGGGTGTTGCATTAGTTGACCTGTTGGTGCAGGGACCGATATGGTCAAGGAAGAAAATTTAAATGGAGAAGCGACCAATACTTACAATATCATCTCAGTAGGTGGTTAAATTGCATAGAACTTGCCAACTGCCACCAAGTCAAAAGAGTTGACCGCATCAAGAAAGGCATTTTGGCATGATTAGGAAGTCATAGCATGATACTTACCCTGCCCAGCTGAGTGAGCAGTATGGGAGAAAGGTCCATAGAGGGCTAATACAGTTTCAGTGTTACCTGGAAACCAATATTTGTCAAAGCCTGAATGTTGCATTGTCACTGACTGGCAGAGATGAAAAGCAGGAATGATGACAGCTTTGTTGCTGGCTGCCCTACATAGTCAGTCCAAAACCGTGTGAAAGGCTGTGGTTGAGTACCAAGACAGCATAGATATCAGAGAAAGCATGTCTACAGAAGCATTTAGACTCTTCAATAAACAGGAAATTAAAGAAACAGACAAAAGTGGGGTTAAAAGTCACTTTAGAGACACTAACTTTCTCTATAAATATGAAAAAGCATACACAAGGTGCCACTGACCATCCATGCTACCATGTCCTTTCAGCTTAAAAGGGAACTCAAACACTTGATACATTCCAGATATAGTGGTGGCAGCACAGACGAAGCAGTTTAATATCGATAGATGTCAGTATAGGTTTTAAAACTATGGTCACATCAGTAATAAGATGCAAGTCATGCTGATACTTAGAGAAAAATAAAATAGTTTCTTGATAAAGGCACCATAAGACATGTGAACCCAGAGGGCCATTGATGTACAACAGCTATAAGCCACAAAATTGTAACAACAGCAAGACACTTGAACAAGTTAACAGCAACAATCACTTTAGAACTGCCTACACGCTACAAATCAATTTCACCTTTTGGTGCATGGTTCCTCAGAAATTCAGATCAAATATCACAAATACCGAAATGTTTAACCTCACCAAATGCCATAGTGAAGTAAACGGTTTCTTATACAATGCCCAGGAAAGTGTAGGATCTGGAAGAGCAAAAACCAGAACAGATTATGTGAAACCCAAGACGTTCATACACAGTCAAGCATTAAGCTCTGCATTTGAGCTTTAAAAGTCTTACCACTCATTGTATAGTCATAGCCCACATTACAATAAAGAAATGTTTGCCACGGTCATAGCTCTTCTAAAATAATTATTCCTTAAAGTCACAGTTTGTCTGTACATAAAACAAACACCAAGCTCAGGAAGCAGAGGAAATTCTTAGTAAAAAAAAAAAAAACACTTAAGCGAATATACCAGATGAAGAGGAAAATACCATGCATGAAGAAAAAAGCCAAATAAGACATAGGCTAAGCTTCTCACCTGATGGCATTTCTCTTGATGCAGTTCAGCGGTCATATTCAATCAGCTTCACATGCTTTCTTCCACCTTCAACAAGACTGTTAACAAACCAAAAAACAACTACTGATTGGCTCATATCATTTATTACTGGATATAGGTTCTCATTTATTTAAAAAAAATAAATAAATACACAAGGTATATAAATCACATAACAAATGAATGTGGAAGAAAAGATCTTACCTTTCAATGATTAAAGCAGGTATACTTTCAAGCATGGCAATCTCTTTCAGCATCCTTACACCACAACTGCCATCTCATACTGACAAATCTGGCCCATAGCTAGTGGGCATTTATAGTGATGGGCAAAACCATTGACAGTCACGCAAGCTAACAGAAATTAAATTCATCACAAACTAAACTATATAACTATAATCAACAAATTATTTATTAGTCATGTGTTCAAATTCAATCATTGGTAAAGCATTCAAATTTTAAAATAACAAACAATCCCCTTCATCCTCTGCACTTGGTTTCTCCCACCTCCCATAATGCACCACAGCACAGATATTCCAGACATTGCATTCACATAATGTATCTCATAACCCTGTACTTCAGTTACAATGCACATTAAGCACATTAACATTCTTTTGCTTGGGTTGAACACATACTTTTTTGCTTAGTTGGAACAGCAATTTTTCTCTTTTTTCTCTATTTCCTTCTCGGTTTCTGCCACGGGATTGGCATCATGTGGTAACTAGGAATCACACGAGCTTCAGTCTGGATCCAGCCCTTACAAAGACCTGAGATGACCGAACACCTGAGAAGAGATGATGCCAACCCCTCAGACAACATACAAAACTACCAAATTTTGCTATAAGTTTGATCGCAACATATAGTCATTGCTGTTAAAAATGTTCACCAGATTACATATTACATGTCATTAACTAACTGCTTGATTTTACCGTACATTTCTGCCATATGGACATCAATAGTCACCACTCACCACTGATAAAATATTACTAAATATAATGTAGAAACTTTAATTTTCTGTAAAGCTGCTTTGCAACGATTTGCATCGTGAAAAACGTTTAAAAAAAGACATTGCAGCAGTGCCTATGGTTTTTCATCTGGGATTATATTTTGCTGTTTTTATTTAAAGGGGGGGGGGGGGGATAAGAAATTATAGAAATTAATACTTTTTAGCAAGGATTCTTTAAATGGATCAAAAGTGAAGATAAAAGACATTTATAAATGTTACAAAAGATATGTTACAAAGCAGATAAATGCTGTTCTTCTGAACATACTATTCATCAAAGAAACCCGAAAAAAATTTGGTTGCACTTTACTTGAAGGGGTGTGCATAAGACTGGAATATGAAGGTTTTTTTATGCATGTTTATGACAACTGTCATTAAGTGTCATTCACTCAGTTATGTAATTTTTAATGCAAAGATGACATTGTTTGAGATGTCTTTGTTATGGGCTATGGTTAGGGGTAGGTTAGGTCAAATAATGTCATATTTGCATTAAAAATGACATAACTGAGCGAATGACACTTAATGACAGTTGTCATAAACATGCATAAAACCTCCTTCATATTCATGACATGTGTCATGTCATAATTATGAAGGTACCATGTCAGTCTTACGCACACCCCTTCAAGTAAAGTGTTACCAAATTTTACTCCGCTGTTTAACAATAATAATTATAAATGTTTTTGAGCAGCAAATCAGCATATTAGAATGATTTCTGAAGGATCATGTGACACTGAAGACTGGAGTAATGATGCTAAAAATTCAGCTTTGAAAATCACAGGAATAAAATTACATTTTATAATATATTTAAATAGAAAACAGTTATTTTAAATAGTACAAATATTTCTAAATGTTACCGTTTTTGCTGTACTTTGGATCAAATAAATGCAGGCTTGGTGAGCAGAAGAGACTTTAAAAATTACAAATCTTACCGTTTAAAAACTTTTGACTGGTAATGTAGCCTATACATATGTCACCATGTTTGCTCGGTCTTTGTCCGATCATTGCGTTGCTCACATCCATATGTTTTCTCGTGCAATTTCTGCTGTCTCTCGTTTTCCTGCGTTCCAGTTTCCTGCCACTGTTTTGGATATTGCACCCACGATGTCTTGACTCTTCTGTTGTTTATTTGTTTGTTCCTAATAAACGGTTGAACTGCACTTACAAGTGAATCTCAAGTTATTTTGTGAGATAGTTGAATATATTCTAAATAAACAAATATATAAATTTATTTTGTCCTCACATTCTTTCTTGTAACTCTTCCCTCTGTCACACACCTGACTGAAAGGCTCATTATGGGGGCCTTTGTCTTCTCAGATGTGAATCACACTATTATTCATGATCATTCACGCCTCCTCGCATACAGGCTTTCTAGACAAAAAGTGACTTAGAATCAATATATTGTTTTCTGCGAATGAGTGAACAGGATAATTTTCACATTATTTTAAAGCAAAAGCTCTAGGCTACAAGATCCAGTTCTCAAAAGTCTTGAACAAATGTTCTGTATGCGTTTTATGGCCTTATTCAAGCGATTTAATTTTTAGTTTTTCACTAACCACGCATAAACATTGTTTTCTCAAAAACACAATCATGTACATACATGCTGCTCACATATTATTGTAGCCCAGTTAGTGCCGATTATGGTGTTATCAAACTTTAGCCATTTACAGGTTTATAAGCAACTGAAAAAAGCACAAATGTCAGGGCATGTCAAAACTTCTCCAGGCCCCCAAAACACCCTCAGACCCCAGGGGGTTAACAACCACAACCTTCTTAAATATTTGAGACCAGTATGTTTATCCAAAGCACCATGACCAACTATCCCTATAACCAGGGCCGGATTATTTATTTGTTTACTCCAACTGCCCTAACCCAGCAAAACATTTATAGGGGAATGTGTGGGCCAGATGGACTGGAATTTAGCACCAGTCCAACCCTGATGATTTTCCTCTTCCAGGGCCAGAAAGAAGACCTTCTAATAATAAAACTTTTTAACGTAAACTCCTTAAGGGAGCTGTATATGCTCAAGTTGTTGCTGCTTCTGGAAACCAGTTTGCTTTTTCTTCATATATCTGGTGTTATTGTATTTATTCTTTTAATGTGTTGTAGCCTGGAATATTTAGTGTGCATACTCATTGTATCTCTGCGTTGGAGATTTGATTTTTAAAACACAAACGAATTATTCCTGTGGTAGAAAACGTTGTGCGTTACCAACATAGGCTACTATTAAGGGGGGCCCTTGGGTTTGCTATAGCCCCAGGGCCCTGTGTGTTCTTAATCCGGGCTTGCCTATAACTATACGGAGTTCGGGGCGCCCCGTCTAACTGATCTGAGCTCAACCACATCGGATCAGCTCCTGCAGGTCACCAACTCCCTGTTCTGCTCCTCAGTCACAACCTTTAATCAAACAAAACTACGTATATATTGAATGTTGGTATTTCATCAAAGCAGCTGAACCAGTAATGAGACCAATATGCCCAAGGTTTCAAATATTGTACGGGTCTTAGGTTAGTCTCATCCTGTGGGAAGCTGCTGATTCTCCAGTCCAGTCTTTAGTTCATGTAATAGAGCCATTTAAGGTCAAATGAGTACAGGAGAGCTTGAATTCTGTAGCATGAGACTTACAGATAAACATTGCAGTGATGAATGACAATCTTCCATCAAGGTAGAAGAATCACAACATCCCGCTCAAACGCCTCCAACTTGCCTAAAGACAAAAAAATAACAAATAAATTTAAAAAAAACTCTAAATACAATTCAATAGTTATGGAACAGAAAAGTACATTTTAAAGAATTACTGAAAAGCACACAAGTTGAAGATGAAGAGGAGAGGCTGTGTTGCTATGTCCTCTGCTGGAATCCAGATTTAAACAGACTCTAACTTGACAGACAACTGTGGCGACAGAAGTCGTCCACTTATGTCAGAAGCAGATTGACATTAAGAACAGAGAAAGGCATAAAATTAGACATACATGCCTTGTCTGTCCTTGTGCAGGTACTAATATAGTTTAAGTGCATCAAATAGGACAGTCCAGCACTATTAAACTGTTACAGACAAATACAGCATTTAAAAAGCAAGTTTAGCCTTTAAAAACAGTGTAAATATAAATGGAAAAAAAAAACGAAAAAAAAAAAACACTATAATAAGATTTCAAACTAACAAAGCAGCATCACTTAGGGACTTAGACAGCAGATTACACAGTAAGTAAGTAAGTAAGTAAATAAGTAAATAAGTAAAGTAAAGTAAATAAATAAATATCATAGAACTTACCTTGTTCAAATGATTCTAACACTGAAACCGACATGAGTCTGTGTAAGCACTTTTAAACCGTTACACTGAATAACTAAATGTCCATGATCAACCATCCTAAAGCGCTTTAGTGTGACACTGCTATAGTCTCTTGTCTCGATGTCTGGGGCGCCCCATCTATCTGATATCGGAGCTCAAGCTGCAGGTAACTGACTCCATCCTCTACCTAGCATTGCTTTGATCAGAGACTGCAATGGAGGATCACACTATCCAACACAAGGCTTTCTGGGAATATGGCTCAAACCAGTAAACGGACCAATATACACAAGGTGTAAATATATATATATAAAATAAATAAATAAAAACAACTCACCTCAGCAGCTGTTGATTTTCCCGTGAAATAACTGTACTGACATGGTCAAGTCTTCACTGGAACAAAGCAATCAATTAAAAACTGCATTTGTTACTAATGTATCAAGAGGTGCAAAAGGAAAATGGAAAGCGGTTTCATGTAAATCAGAACCATCTTTAAGTTGAAGTCTGCCATTTAAATTGAATTGACAATAGATGACCATGGAATTCTGTAGCATGTGACTCATCAAGATGGACATTGGTGGGCTTCCAACAAAGAGAGAAAAACAGCAGCACATTGAGCTCCTTCAGTACATCCAGATTACCTGGCGGACAATTACAAATAAGGCATTAGTGTTTGCAGTTGCATATACATTAGAACGGTTTCTCACATACGGAGTTAAATATTACTAAGAAAACCATTTCCTCTACACATCCTAATTTTAAATTACTTTTAAAGAACTGATTTTGTCAAGACAGCAAAGCGATCCGCTGTTCAAAACCAGGTCTCAGTCAAGCTCAACATGAATAGAGTGACTATAGCTGTAATGAAGTCAGATTTGGGACTCTGGAATTGTCAGACATCTGTAAAACCAGAGAAAGGGAGTAGTGCAAAAGGACATGGGTTACTAGAACAGGTGTAGAGAAGAGCAATAATTGGAGGAGAAAACACCAATGCATGGTCTGCAACCTTGCGGAATAGACCGTCTCCATGAGTAAGAGAGTGCAGCACTGTAAACTCAAAGCACACTATATGTGACAAGTAGAGCACTTAAAATGACAAGTGTCACAGTATAAATCCATATTTAAATTAAAAAATACATGTAAAAAAAATAAAAAAAGAAAAAAAGAAAAGAAAACTAAGAAAAAAGCAAGATGCACAGTGGAAAGTCTATGTAAACATACTGGTCACAAATCAGACAATAGATCAACCATCCCTAAAAACCCTGTAGTGTGCACACTGCTAACTGGATCTCTGCGGTTTAATTCTTCCTAGCACTCAGTTTGGGGCGCCCCATTTATCTGATATCTGAGCTCAAGAAAGAGCGTATTTGCCCCTGCACAATGTAGTAAATATTGAAAGGGTGGCAGATGGTCAAATACAAGGAGAACTTAAATGGAAAACTGTGCTGATTTATTGGAAAGAGCTCCTTTGGGATGGTTTAACCCTAAACAATACACACACTAATGGGATAAAAATATAAGAACTACACTTACAGAGAGAAAAAAAATTAATTTAAAAAAAATTTACTTTTCTGCAATGGAACCATTACTCAATTTGCATCAAAATACATTTGCCATCTTTGTTCAGTCACCTGACAATTTGGACAGATTAATTGAAGGCATGACAACCTTTCAAACGCTGTATTAGCCCTGTATCCACAAATTTAACATTCAGAATCAGCACTGTTCAAAATAAAGCTAATATGCAATTACCAATAGTTCAAAGTGCAAAATAATTCAGTTCTCCAATAATGATATTGTATTATAAAAGGTATTATAAAAGGTATTATAAAAAGGTATTATAAAAAAAAATGAGCAGCTCAAATTCAACTCATTAATTCTAGAAATCTATGGAATAAAGCCTGTGCGAGCTTTGTGTGAGATATGTTTGAAAGTTACTCACCAATTTCCAGTCATAATGAAGCATCTGAAAGACCGCAGAATCACAATTCGTGTATGAAAAGCACCAAGTTTACTCAGAATATGGCAGCATCGAGTCTAACCAGAAAGAGCAAAAAAATAATAAATACCAGCGATGAAAACTAAAGCAGCACAAGCATAAAAAAAATATATATAAACATACATATACATATACAAACACATGCTGAAACTGCAGTCATTTTCCCGAGGCAGTTTTCCCGCCTCCAGCACCGATTGATAGTCAAACTCTCTATTCACTTTCTATTGGCTATCTTTGTAAATGCTAATATATTAAAGCACAAAAAGACAAACAAAGAACAAGGGAAAAACTAAACAAAATGAAACAAGATTTCTTAATCGTAAAAACACTTCAGCTCTCCAACTTCCATCTCAGACCGACAAGCTTCAACTGCTGGCTATTTATACCCACGAGCACAACCATTGACAAGCAACCAGGAATTACATATTCCAATTAACAAGACTTAAGTCATACATGCATTTTGTACCTAACTTAATCAACAACATTATTATTTCACAGCAATGTAAACATATTTCTTCACTGTAAGACTTTTTGATTTTCAAACAACAAACAATCCCCATCATCCTCCAAATGTGGTTTCTCCCATCTCCCATGATGCACCACAGCACAGATATAAAACTTCCTTCCTGTCACCATCAGGTTTTTCAACTGCCTTCAAACTGATTCAGCAATTCAATCAAAAAAGGCTTTGAATGTCGCTAGTGATGGGAAATCGAGGCTTTCTGAACCGTTTGAGGCTGTCTTGAAATTGTGCCGAAAAACGGTTCATTACTCGAAGGGGGGGCCCCCCCCCCCCCTTCATAAAAAATAAATTCATAAATAAAATAAAATAAAACTTTATATACATACGTATGATGCCATTTTTTTTTTTGTCTTGTCCTCGTTATCGTTGAGAAAACCTAATACTAAGATAAAAGATGATTTTACTATGATCAGTGAATTAGGTGACCAACAGGAAACACCCCTAACGTGTTGCGCTTTAGGACTGTCATGGACAGCTGACTCTGTGTGGTGGTCAGTTCACAGCAGTGACAGAAGTTAATCTTTTCCAGCAAGTTTAAAATGATTTTTACCCTTTATGGGTATTTTTGCCTTTGTAAAGCCATTTTTTTTTCTAGAAGTGTGTCTTATATTTAATCAATAAAGTCAATTATAATAATAAGACATTTGGGGCAGTTACCAAACAAATAAAATCATTATAAACAAAATTCATGCAATGCAGAGGAAACACAGAAGCTGCATCTGAAGTGGCATTAGATGCACACACTGCTTAATGCAAGGCATGAATGCTCTATCCTGCAGTTACAAATGCGTAAATAATGTTTTGTTATTTTAATCTTAAAACGTTGAATACTGATATTTGAAATTATTTTTAAAAATTATATAAAAAGGATGCATACACTGTTTAATGCAAGGCATGAATGCTCTAACCTGCAGTTACAAATGCGTAAATAATGTTTTGTTATTTTAATCTTAAAACGTTGAATACTGATATTTGAAATTATTTTTAAAAATATATAAAAAGGTACTTTAAATGTGAAATTAAAACCGCCAGTAGGTGGCAGCAAGTCACTGTTAATAAGTGAGTCACTGCGATTGAACCGAATCATTTAAAAGGTGGATTCATTCAGGAACTAAACACTGTCATGTTTTTCAGAGATGCAAAACAGTGCTGTGGCTTTGTTTGGAACCATTTGTGTTGGCGAAATAGAGCAAAAAATAGACAATGTGGTGTCTAAAACGTAATTCTCTTAATATTAACTTCTTGATTATTGAACTGTTGTATAAAATAAAAAAAGTGAACGGAAAGAAAGAAATCGGATGTTTGTCAGTACTGATCTGTACATTAGGTCTTAAAGTGACAGCACTATTTTACTTGCTGCTGTCTGTCATCATTAATCTGAAAAGAAACAGAGAAAACTGCTCTTGGCTGAAGAAGTTGTTGCTTAAGTAAGAATCATCTATTTAATTCATACAGTGAACATTATTCAGTGTTTTATTTTTTTATTTTTTTGCACTTTATTTATTAATTTTTCAAACATGTTTTAACAAAAAAAAATCAAACAATTACATAATTATGTATTTTCTTTCCCCACCCCGTTCCACAACCCTGAATTAACAGAAAGTAGAAAAATAATAGATAAATAACCAAACAACCAAATAATTATATGAATAAAGTGAGTGCTTAGTATACAAAATAGCAAGATACATTTCAATACTTTGTTATAGTGCTTTATTTTTTGATTATTAAATTTCTAGATGGCTAGTGTTAAATAGACTTACTATACCGGAAAAAATTAAAGGTGACATATTATGTCCCTTTTTACAATATGTAATATAAGTCTCTGGTGTTCCCAGAATGTGTCTGTGAAGTTTCAGCTCAAAATACCCCACAGATCATTTATTATATCATTTTGAAAAAGGCTATTTTGAGTAGAAGCAGAAACACGCTGTTTTTCAGATCTGTGTGGCAGCAGCAATATACAGTAAATAAATCAATAAATGCACTGCTCTGTTGTCTCCTCTGAGGCTGGGACTCTAAACAGTGTTCTGTGCTCGTCTGTGCAGCCAAACACAGAACAGTTAGCAGACTTTGCTCAAACTTTCTCCATGGCATTAGAACTAATACACCGCTGTCGCTTGCGAAATCAAATGAAGGTGCCGTGGGTGGAAATTTACAGATTAAGGGGCGGTGATATTATAATGAGATCCCTTTGCCACGTCACCAAGGGAGCGAAATCAGACGCGCTCGTTTTCTCAGACGCTTGCAGAAAAAGACTTCCCAAAACAAAGTTACTGGGTTAATCTTTTTCACGTTTTCTTGGTTGGTAGATGCACCGGGACCTGATTATAGCACTTAACACCTGGAAAACTCAGATTTTCATGATATGTCATCTTTAAAGCAGTTCACAATATAAGATTCATTTCTTTTGTATCTTATATTGTATTTTTCCTATTGTTTGTCATTTCCACCTTTTATCATATTATTTAATAAATAAGATAACATAAAATACAAATATATTGTTATATATATTGTTTTTGTGAAATATAATTAGCCTACTCCTATCCAAATTTGTCATATCACGCATCCTCTATTTGGGAAGAATACATATAGCTTATGACAGCTATATTTATTCATTAACTGTTAATAATCGTTTGAAATAGACTGCTTGTTTATTTTATATGTCTGCGATCTCCCCGAGCTGTCTGGGGAACACGTGACAGAGTCAAAGCGTTTCATTGGTTTGGACTACAAAGTCCAGAGTTCATAGCGCCTCAGAAGGCGGAAGTGTCGTCGATCCGTCTGTAGTGGGTTGTGGACGTGCGGCTGTTGAAAATGCGGTAAAACATCGACAACAACATCAAATTCACACATGTAATTGAGTTTTGTTTTATTTTGTTGAATTGCGAACAGTCAGTAAGGTTCATCTCTGATATTTCCTGCTCGTGAATCCGTCCCGTTTGTTGTGTTGACGTTTTAGCTCATGCTGTCATGTTTGAACAACCAAAACAATTACACATAATTTATAGTAACGTTACAGAAAACAAACAGTGTTAAAATAAATAGGTCTTTAATGCAGACAGCGAACAGCATGTCAATCATGGGATTTAACCGTCTTCTCGTTTGAGATGTATTTTGTTCTATTTGAGTATTATGTGTTCAGAGTCTGCTCTATACCGCTCTATACTCAGATTGCCTTACTCTTGAGTGTGTGTGCGTGTGTGTGTGTGCAGGTGTCGGCGTCGGCGTGTGTGAGCGAGACATGGTGCCAGAACATGGTAAGCAGCAGAAACGCTCGCCGCAGCCATCTAATAGCAAGGGCGACGCGGACGGATCGTATGTGTTTGAGGCTAAAGAGGCCTGGAAGGATTTCCACAACTCCCTCAGACAGTTTTACGAGAACGGAGAGCTGTGTGACGTCACTCTGAAGGTATCTGACGCAGTGAATATAGTCACACAGCAGCTTCTTCTGTTTCTAATTCTCTCCCTTATGTTTTTCACTCAAGGTCGGAAACAGACTGATACCATGTCACAAACTGGTTCTGGCCTGCGTGGTGCCATACTTTCGTGCCATGTTCCTCTCAGATATGGCCGAGGCCAAACAGGACTTGATTGAGATACGAGATTTCGACGCCGATGCCATCCAGGACCTGGTGTGTTTCGCGTACTCCTCGCGGCTGACGCTGACGGTGGATAACGTTCAGCCGCTGCTGTACGCGGCGTGTATCCTGCAGGTGGAGCTGATCGCTCGGGCCTGCTGTGAATACATGAAAGCTCACTTCCATCCCTCCAACTGTCTGGCCGTCCGCACCTTCGCAGAGAGTCACAACAGGGTGGACCTGATGGACATGGCTGACCGCTACGCCTGCGAGCATTTCAGAGAAGTGGTGGAGTGTGAGGACTTCATCTGCGTCTCGCCGCAGCACCTCAAGACGCTGCTGGCCTCCGGTGACCTGAACATTCAGTCTGAGACTCAAGTGTACAACGCCGCCGTCAAATGGCTCAAAGCCAACCTGAAGCACCATGACGTCTGGCTGGATCAGATCATGTCTCAGGTTAGCTGCTCAGGGCTGGGATGGAAAGTTTGTTGGGGATCATTTTTACACGCACTTTTTAGTATCCTAATTAGAAAGAGCTTTTTTGCCAGGTAGCCTATGTTTACACATACGAGGAATTTGTTTGGGTGACAGAAGCTTCCACAGCATAAGCAGAATGACAGTGACAAGACACAGAAACATGAAAAATCAATTAAAGACGTAATCAAACAGACGATGAACACTATTAACAGCAATTATTATATGATAATTATAATATTATATGATATGATGCAATCAAACTTATAGCAAATGTGGTAGTTCTGTATGTTGTTTCAGGGTTGGCATCATCTGAGGTCCTCTGAGGGGTTGGCATCATCTCTTCTCATTAAGGGCCTTATAGGTAAGTAATAATATTTTGTAACTGATATGGAACTTAATAGGTAGCCAGTGCAGAGACTGTCAAATTGGGGTAATATGATCATATTTTCTTGACGTGGTAAGGACTCTAGCCGCTGCATTTTGGACTACCTCTAGCTTGTTTATTGAAGATGCATGACAACCACCTAGCAGTGCATTACAATAGTCCAGTCTAGAGGTCATGAATGCATGAACTAGCTTTTCTGCATCAGAAACAGGTAACATGTTTCGTAACTTGGCAATGTTTCTAAGATGGAAGAATGCTGTTTTTGTAACATGGGAAATATGATTTTCAAAAGACAAGTTGCTCTCTAATATAACACCCAGATTTTTGACTGTAGAGGAAGTAACCGTACATCCGTCTAGTTGCAAATTGTAATCCAAGAGATTCTGTGTACTGTCTTTTGGTCCAATAAGTAATATCTCTGTCTTATCCGAATTTAATAGGAGAACATTATTGGTCATCCAATCTTTTACATTTTTAACACGCTCTGTTAGCTTAGATAATTTAGAAGTTTCATCTGGTCTTGTTGAGATATATAGTTGAGAATCATCAGCATAACAGTGGAAACTAATCCCGTATTTTCTAACAGCATAAGCAGAATGACAGTGACAAGACACAGATAATAGAAAGAATAAAAATGGAATATGTAAATAGGAAATAACAATATACAATAAATAAATAAATGTATAAATAGTGTTGTGTGCATGTTTACTGTCAAGTTAAGTGTTCATGAGCTGGATTGCCTGAGGGAAGAGACTGTTCTTATGCCTGGCCGCTCTGGTGCTCAGTGCTCCGACCGGATCGCAGCAGTTCAGAGAAGAAGTGTTCTGGGTGTGAGGGGTCCAGAATGGTTTTACCAGCCCTTTTATTCACTCTGGATGAGAGTGGGGAGGCTCTTGTAGTAAGTACGAGAACATGACCTCTCATGTGAGGAAATTTGCCTGATGAAATATCCTGCCAGGTTCTGCTTGGTCCTAGGCACCAAAACACATTTGCCATGAAGTCCTGGCTGGACTTGTGGAAACATGGTCAAGTTCTGAAGTACGCTGTAGGATCCAGGTTCAATTTGTGGCCAGAGGTGGCGCTGTACAAATCCAACATCACATTTCAGAAACGGGCTTGGATCCTTTTAAGCTCTTGTTGTCAGCAAATGTATTAAAAGGCTGTTCTGATGGGCTTTTCTCACACAGGTGCGTCTTCCTCTGCTGCCGGTGGATTTCCTCACAGCCACTGTTGCTAAAGAGGAGATGATCAAGGCCAATTTGAGCTGCAGAGACCTTCTGGACGAAGCTCGGAATTATCATCTGCATCTTAGTAACAAGAGCGTTCCTGACTTTGAGTATTCGATCCGTACGACTCCCCGCAAGCACACCGCAGGTCAGCAGATACAGCCGTGATTGCTCTTGCACTCTTGTGTTCTTCTGCTGTCTTTAACTGAGCTCTCCGACAGGTGTGTTGTTCTGCGTCGGGGGACGGGGCGGATCCGGGGACCCCTTCCGCAGTATCGAGTGTTACTCCATCAGTAAAAACAGCTGGTTCTTCGGCCCTGAAATGAACAGCAGACGCAGACACGTGGGAGTGATTTCAGTAGCAGGTGAGAAAGAGATATGAAAAGCAAATAAAACAATGATTTAAGGAGAATTACATAAGGGTTAAAAAATAGAGATCGACCGATATATCGATTTACCGATATTTTTCCCGATATTTAAGCATTTTACAATAATCGGATATCGGTTTTGTAATATCGGATTCACCGATAAACACCGATAAACGCCGCCATCTTGTGGATGTTTTGAGAATTGCGCGCAGGATCGCCATTGCACCACGGCGTCTTGAGGGGAGAGGAGACAACAACAACGGCGTGCACAGGTACTTGATTTACTGTAGTTAGTAAACTTTATTTAACATAACAGCCATTAATGCACAAATTAGATGTATTACATAAATGCCTGATATGCAGTTTATGCAGCTTGGCTCGAAGAAATAGAGACAAACTCATGGAGTCACGTAAAATAATCCGTCAAGTCCTGTCCATGTGGAAATAAAAGTGCTGAATTTAATTCGCTCTCTGTTGTCTATGCTGCTCACCGTCTCATGAAGGCGGAGCTAAGATAATCCGTCAAGTCCTCTCCCAATAAAGACGTAACTTTGCATTAATTAAATAATACAGCCATGAATGAGCGCATGTTGGAAATAAAAGCGCTGAATTTAATTCTCTGTCTGTTGTCTATGCTCATCATTAGTCTCGTGAAGCCGCTTTCATATTGCTGTTCACTCAGCGGGTTGATGCTCAGGAAATGCTCCAGCACGGCCACAGCATGTAACTTTTAACAAGATTCACTTGTTTAAAACATCCTAAATTGTATTAACATTGTAACACAGTTCGTAGTTTGGGAAGAAGGAGGCGGGAACCGGCGAACGCTCAAAGAAAACTTTAATAATAAAATAAACACAAACTAGCGCGACAGCCCCTCGCGGACGACTGTCGCGCACAAACAGAACCAAAACACAAAATAAAGTTTTGCACTGTCGTCCTTATTTCAGTATTCCAGAGAATATTATTCTGTGAATTAACATTATCCAGTGAATTATTCTTCACTCTTTAGCCTATTAAACAGCTTATAAACCTACTAAAACTGTAGTTTAAAATGAAGTTGATATGACTCCTTTCCTTTATTTATTTTCTCCATTTGAAAACATTATACCTTCTACATTTATTTTGCTTATTGTTAATATTAGTGTTGCTGCTGATGCTTTAAATAAAATGTTTTTTTATTTTAATATGAAGATTAAATTTAACATGAAAGACTGGTAATTTGCAACACTTTTTTTTTAAATTTTTTTTTTTAAGATGACTGAAAGGAGGAAAAACCAAAGTGAAGCATGGACTTACTTCACTCAGTCATTTATTTACTTTATAACAGTAAATAAATATCGGTTCTGCATATCGGTTATCGGGCACATAAACACGCAAATAATTGGGATTGGTATCGGTTATAAAATATCAATATCGGTCGATCACTAGTTAAAAAACACTTTTACTTTACTAGTGTTTTAAAGTAGGGATGCACTGATACCACTTTTTCCAGAACTAGGCCAATACCGAGTACCAATATCTGTATTTTCATTGCATTTGTAATTTAAAAAAAATATTGGTTAAAGAATCCAAAAGAATATGTTAAAAATTTGTTGACTTAGTTCATTTAGCAAACAAATATTTCCTTCAGTTATTTTCACACTTAATTATGCCCATTAAAATGTTTTTTACAAGTTTTTGTTACTTTCACTGTTAATTTCTTTTTGCTCTATGGTACATCATCTTTAATTTGATAGCATTAGAGCTGCTCCATTGCAGCGGCTCAGTACTGTAATCACAAGACGTTTTGCTGTAATAATGCAAGGAACGACTCGTTATATATAAATCTTGTTCTATGAAGAACATATTTTGAGGAATATGTCACGTTTTTTTTCATCTGAAACATGCTGCGACTTATATTCGAAAGTGACTCATATAATGCAAAACACTCATGAAGCAAGCTAAACATGCGCAACACCGCACATATTTGTACTGCTGCAGAATGAGAGAGACGCGTAAAGCCTAGCGCATTTCACACAGACTGCTAATTCAACTTTCACCATAAAGTCGAAACACTTATAACAGGCATTTGAAAACGCATGTCTACCGTCTTCCCAAATTTGTAACGAGGATTGTTCATCACTGTTAATAAAAGCTAGATGTTGAGACTTCAATATCACTGTGTTGTTTAATTGTTTTATTACAGTGAATAAATAAGACCTCTTTTCTTTAAACATGTTGTTTCAATTGATATCAATTAATATTAATGAGAGTGAACTAGTACAATATAAGAGTTTTACAAATAATACAGAACAAATATGGTCTATTCCTATAGACTAAACTCAAGAAAATATCAGGGTGTTGATTTTTGTCAACAGCGAACATCCCTAACCCAATTCTGGTTAAATAATTAATACTGTTAGAAAATGGATCAAATTGTGTTTTATTAGATTTTTAGTTAGTGTGGGACAAAGTAGTACGCAAGTAAAAGCTACAGTGAATACTGAAACCTCCTGCTTACAATAAATGACTCAAACATAATTCAAGTTTTCAATTCAAGTTTATTTGTACAGCGCTCAAATTGATTTAAAGATAAAAATAGATGATAAAGAATTAACTTGACAGAGCTCAAACTCAAAACACACGGCAGCAACAAACAGGTAATAAAGCATACTAATAAAACTTCACATTCATCATTTTACAGGGAAAGTTTATGCTGTTGGAGGCCATGATGGCAACGAGCACCTCGGGAACATGGAGATGTTTGATCCACACACCAACAAGTGGATGATGAAAGCCTCCATGAGCACAAAACGGTATGACAAACAGCAAGCTTTCCTTGACCTGATGTTCTGCTCTAATACTTTCCATAGTTTATAGTTGTAATTCATTGTTGTTTCATTAATATTTATAGTTATAATTGAATTCTCATGGGATTAAAGAGTTATGTCCATGCACACGTCCAGCAAAATAAAGCTATTGTATGTATTGACACAGAAGACAGCTGAGCATGCAGACAGAATGAGAGGTTGTCCTGTGTTTGTGTTTGTCAGGAGGGGGATTGCGCTGGCTGCTCTCGGCGGACCCATCTACGCTATCGGTGGTCTGGATGATAACTCCTGCTTCAGTGATGTGGAGCGCTATGACATCGAGTCGGACCGCTGGAGTGCCGTGGCTCCTATGAACACACCCAGAGGAGGCGTGGGATCTGTGGCGCTCGGGGTACGAAAGGCCCACAGAGCCACTTACACATGATTCTACACTAGGACTGGCCATCAGATATTAGCGTTATCACTGCACTCTCTTTGCTGACGATATAAAATTAGGAAATATGCATATGGCAGTAATGTTAAAGGTTTGACTTTTAAAGACAATAAGCCAGTTTCACTCATTATGACAGCTGATAGATGCTGCTTTTAAACGCTTCCATGCGTTTGTGTGTGAGCGCTGTTTAGAACAGTGTTGAGGGCGTTACAGCCAATCACAGACATGTCTGCCGAGTGCCAAACTCAGTGACCAATCGGGGTTGAAGTTAGGCAGAATCCACTCAATACTGCTCAAAATGTTTTCGTTCAGCACACTTTTCCATTTTTATTTATACAGCTTTTTACAATACAAATTTCAAAGACTGTTTCTAAGAAGCGTCGCAGAATGTGTGTTTTCAGTGGAATAATCAAAGTAATCTGTTATTTGTGAGTGAAGCGTGTCAGAGGAATATCCATATGATGGAGTATACAGCGAAACCATATTACAGCTTATGTGGCTAGTTAACGTCGTGTTCACTTAAGTAGATAGAATGAGTCATCATGAGGTGTCATCAATAAAAAGAGAATAAACTGTGATCTACACACTGGTGAATCCTTATATTATAACTAACAATGTGTAAATAAAATTAATTGTGTAATATAGACAACGTTATTTTAACTGTATCGTCCAGCCCGATTGTACACAATATTCACCAGCCCAGACAAGCTTTCACTTCTATTGTATTCTTTTGTTTTGAGAGGGTAAATGACTTCTCTTCATGAGTGTCACGGGTTTGATCGTGTTGATCGGATGTCTTCTTCAGGGCTATGTGTACGCGGTCGGGGGGAATGACGGAGTTGCGTCGCTGTCCAGCGTGGAGCGCTTCGACCCTCATCTGAACAAATGGACAGATGTGCGAGAGATGGGGCAGCGGCGCGCTGGAAACGGTGTCAGCGAACTCAACGGA